GTCTTGTTTTCTTCTCTTTTAAGGTTGAAAAATCTGTCTTCTCTCCCTTTTGATGGCTGGTCGAAATGGTTGATGAGTGGGAAAGGGAGTTTGGTTGTTAGATCTTGCTAGAACACCTCAAAGTATGGTAGATCCAAGTGGATCTATGTGGAAATTGGAAGAATTACGTGCTGATTTGATGCCTATTTCAAATTAGTTACTGTTCATATCTGATTCTAAAATTTGTATGCTTGTATTACACTCTGTGAGCTTTAAATCCATGGGTAGAACACTCCATTTGGATATGTGTACGATTTATGGTGATTTTTCAAAATTAGGGTTTGAAATCTGGAAACAGTGTTGAACTTTTAGGAGATTGTCGAGTTCCGTACAATTCTGGTACTATTCGGCGTAGAAGTGGTTCCTGAAACTATTTTTCCTTTAAATTTAACTTAATTATATTTCAGTGAGACTTGGAAGCACTCAATTTGGAGTTTTATAGATTTAATTATGAATTTTCAAAGTTGAGAAAAAAATTCTGGAGATTCTGCGTGAACAGTACCCGTGAACCAAAATTTCTAGATTTGATGTTCTTGAATTTAAAGCCATCTAAAGTGGTCCTAATTGATAGGAAATGGATCTTAAGGATGGAAATAATGAGATTTATATTAGAAAAGCTAGAAAGAAAACCTAAGAGTAAGAGAAAGGGGTTGAGGTTCAAGAGAGCTAGTCTTAAACTTTATGTAATCAAGTGGTCCTAATAGATTGTATGATCATTATGACTATGTTTAGGACCTTTGAAACATCCAAGAGGATATTTGATAATGTTGATCGAATGCCCACATGGTTGGAAAGTCAAGGGAGTCAAAGGAAAAGTAAGAGGAAAGCTTGAGGTGCAAGGTAGTGAACTTACCTATTGTCATTGCTTGATATGGTATGCTTGTGTGTTGCCGTGTACATGTTATTTGCATGTTGTTGTGACATGTTTTAGCTGCTGTAATTGCTATTCATGATGAGTAGATTATGTCTCCATGGCCATGCATCAAGAAGTTAGCTTTGAGCATGCTAGTATGTCACTAATTAACAAGAGAATAAACAAGTTGCGTGTAGTGCATGAGCATCCATCTAGCATGATTAATACGGTATTGTTTGCTATTGAGATTCCCCCGAATCTCACCCCCTCCCTAACCAACCATTTAGGTCAATCAATGATGGGCACTAATGGCATGAGAAGCAAGGAGAAGAAGTGGAGAATTATTAATGCAAATGATTGATATGAATATTCAATGTATAATTCTCCTATGCTGTAAATTAAGTTATGAATGCCATCAATTCAATGTATATGCTTAGAATTTTTATGGCATGAATGAAATTATATGAGTATGAATGAGAAAGATTAAGCCCATGTTATGTATGTCAAAGTAATAAAAAGAATTAAAGTAAGGAGATGTTAAGCGATAAAACGTAGGTCCTGAAGTAGTTAGCTTTGAGCTTCAGTTTGACCTATCAAATGAATGGTTTAAGTCACAATATTTGGCATACTTATAGTGCACATCCCAAGCTTTAAAATGAGTGATGAATCACCTCATTTGGATGTGTATACGAAGAGATATGAATTTTCAAAGTTAAGGCGCAGAATCTGGAAAGTCCAGATTTTACCAAATGAATAGTAATTTTAATCCAATAAACTGTATGTTTTCAGTGAGGATGAGTTCAGTTGAATATTTTTCCCTCAAAGAGAATTGAAAGAGCTTTCTGTAGAATTTTGGAACACCTCCATACAATTTTTCTAGAATTAGTTATGATTTTTCAAAATTGGATCTGTAATCTGAAAACTGGATAGTGAACAGTAATTTTCTGAAAATTAACGTTTAAATTGAAATTTTTAACTTTTAGACCATCCAAAGTGGTCTGAAATGGCTCTAAAAGAATGCTAAGGTATTATATAAGTAAGGTGTGACAGTATCTTACTAGCATTTGCATCTTATATCATTTTAAATAACATGATATACATCAACATGTAAGCATGCATATCAAGCACACAAAAAAGGTAAGTTCACTACCTTTTATCCTTAAACTTTCTTCTTTCTCCTTTTTGCTTCCAACCATTAAGGTTGCTTGCCTAACCTTTACCATTCCTTTTCCTTGATGTCTCATGGCCCTAAATGCATTAACACATCATTACCATTCATTCATTAGAGTGATAGTAATCAACAACATCAATACTTTATTTTCTTTGAGCTATATTAACTTCTAACTTTTTGAGCTTGATTTCCAACCTTTCTAAAATTAATTTCACATGCTATTCCCCCCACAATTTTGCATTAGAATCCATTTGAAACCTCAAAATTATCAAAATCAAACTCTTTCTTACTCAAACTGATTTGGCTGAACATAGGGTCTTAGCACCCAAAATTCTATTTTTCAATTCCAATGTTTCCAAACTTATTTTCTCACTTATACCCTACATAATTTTTCATTTTAAATACATTGGAAGCATCAAAATTATCAAAATCCAACCCTTGCTCCAAAAACCAGCTCTAGCCGAAATCTTACTTAAGTTACATAATCATGAAATTCAACCAATTTCAACATAAAACTACTTGATTTGTGTTCCTTTCAAGCCTTTAAGTATTATTCTAAGATCAATTTCATCTTCCCTTATACTTAGAAATTTTGTGCACCATACCTCTCAAGGGTTTCAAGCTCCCAAAAACTATTAAAATCGATAATCAAGCTCAACAACAATAAGGGTAGTGAAAACTATATCAACAACTATAAACATATCTTGTTTTAGAACTTGATCTTGTATGGGATCACTTAGTCTTTCTCTTCCATTTTTCCTTTTCTCTCTAGAATTTGTTTTGCAAGAGTTTTCCCATAGTTTTCATAGGCTTAGAATGAAAATGAGGGGAGAGGAGGGATATTTATAGAAAACAAGCTTGAATCTTAGCCCTTGATCTTATAAATAGGTGGCTTAATCTTAACCATCAATCTTACATCTTTGTCTTGTAGCGACAAATGTCCTTATGAGATCATGCTTACCTCATCTTGTTTACATCATGAAGCCCCATGTCTTTAATCTAACCGTACGCGCGTCTTGCATCTGACCGTACACGCATCTTACATTTGACCGTACACTTGTCTCTTGCATGTCCCTTTATCATTTTGGCAGTAAAATAGGGAGGAAATCGGTAAGAAATTCACTTAAAATGCAGCCCTTAGGTATTCCTCCACCCATCTTGTTATTTTGCACCATATCGGGTACTTTTTTAGGTCCTAACTTACCCAGTACCACTAGAACATGTTCTGGCACCATTTTCTCATCTCAAATAGGTCCACATGGCATTATATAACATGTATAAAGAGAAAGTGATGCTCTTCCTTGTTCTTCCATTAAAATAATTAATAATATTTATTTTAGAATAAACTTGATTGAATTCTTTCTATCGGTCCACGATTCTGAGAATATGTCATTAGGTATCAATACTATTTATTTATTATGGGAAACTTTTTAAATTTTTCTTAAGTCAAAAATTAACCTCTAAACAGTTTACTTTGACTTTTCCCAGATAGTGTATATATAAGCTTTAAATTTTATTAAAGCTAACATCTTTGCTTTCTGGGGCAAAACTATTTTTAAAACATGTGATAATTTATCAAGTACTTTTTCTCATTTTTGTCCAATTATCTGAGGTCATCCTATATTTTAAATAATTTCATTTTCACTAATATTCAAAATTACCCGAAACCCTCGAAATTCCACAAATTCCTTCCAGGGATATTTTTGTCACTTTTAGCCTCATACAGGCCTCTAGACCTCATTCTAATTTTTCTAAAAAATTTTTGAAATATTCAAGTCTACTTTCCATCACTATCCCTTTTCAACATGAAATTTTCTAAATTTACATTTTAGGTCTGTACTCGGGTTTAGTTTCAGGAATCCTCTTACTCAGGTTCCTAGCACAATTTTTGGCCCTTAATTACTTAACTCCTTATACTGGACCCCGGGACTTCAATATAGGCCTTAACATGTCATTTCCTATTTTCTAAGATTTTTTGGAATTTTTTAGCATAATTTTCATTTTTGCCTTTACTGGCTTGAAACTTTACAAAAATACGATTTTGCCCCTAGTTCTTAACACATAATTCACCGCATTAAGGCCTTTAACATAACTTTTGGTCTATATTCATCTCTATTTCTTATTTTTGGGCCCTGAAACTTTACTAGAGTTTCTAACTTTCTCTTTTCTCAGTCCTAAAAGACTTTCACTTTGCGATTTAGTCTCTAGAAATCCTTGTGATCTTTAGGGAACCTTTGGGATCTCTGTCAAAAAAAGGTCTGGTAGCCTACCTATTTCAGGCTAATTCTGTTACTTGTAGGCCTAAAATTTGGGATGTTACAAAGGAGGAGAGAAAGAACAAGGTGAATTCAAGTGATTCTGAGCCACTAATCAAAGTAAAAGCATAGTTAAACTCTCTAGTGTTTGATTTCCTATGGATTGATAGTTTTAAACTTGGTTTTAGTGGATTTTAATGGTTCAAAATCCTAAAGGTTGATGTTACATGAATTTTCTCTTGATAATTTATATTAGGAACTAGAGAGAGTATTTTAGAAAGATCAGGTAACATATACCATAATTAAGTAATTTTTTAAATTTACTAATATCTTTAAGTTATTCAATTGAGTCTTCATATTAAGTATGGGAAGTTGTAAATCATACCTCTCCTTAACACTAAAACTCATTTCCATCATTATATGAAATTATTTCTAATCAAAGTGATCATAGAGGTGACTACTATGATAATGATGTATATACCAGGCTGATAACATACACAATACAAAAACAATGAAACTGACATTAAATACTAATGGAAATTATGGAAATCCAACCACTATGGTAAACTATATCTAGCTAGTTGGTAACAGTTTTTGGCAGAAGAACTTGTCGAACCATGCTCTCAAAATTCTGAAATGAAGATCCATTTGGTCTACCAGTAGCTTCCCCCACCATTTTCTTCTATTCAAGTGCCTTCTTCATCTCTGCTCCTTTTTCTCCCTCCATTAACTCTCTCACTAGCTTCTCAACTCCTTCCCTCTTCATGTAACATCCTGAGTTTTATCGGGTTTTAATAGCCTCTTTTTGGTTGATTTTGAGGATAGATTAGTGATTTAATGTTGATTTTAGAGTTTGGGTTAGATTTGAGGTATGTTGGAGGAATAGGTAAACATATCCCTCTCAAGGTATGTTCGCCGCGGCGAACTAGGAGTTCCAGGGGTGTTTGTCTTTCGGGAAGGTTTGGCCGCGGCGAACTCTTGGGGACGCCACGGCGAAGTTGGTCAGGTGAGCGAGGCTTCCCTCTCGGGAAGGTTTTGCCGCGGCAAAGGTTTTCTGGGCGAGCGAGAGTTTCCTCTCGGGAAGCTTTCGCCGCGACGAAGTCGAGTTTTTAGGCAAGTAATCCCTCTCGAGATTAGTTTGGCACAGCAAAGTTATGGGTTCGCCGCGACGAAGGAGTCCGAATCTATATAGTCACGGGAGGGGTTCAGTTGAGCGAAAATTTGAAAAATCTGAGGTAGAGAGAGGCTCTGCTAGGGTTTCGATGTTTTGGCTTGGAGGGGGCATTTCTAAGGATCCATTACCTCAAGTAAGTGATTTTAACCTCTAATCTACTTTCTTACTTGGAATTTCTAAGGATTTGTGGTGAAACCCTAGAATTTTCTAGGTTATGATGGAATTGAGGTTTTTGACCGATTGTTTTGAGTTTAATTGATTACTTTGGGTTAGTTTAAGTATTTAATCGGTGTAGTTTTCTTGGATTTGAAAAACTTTGAGTTTTTGAAGTTAGGGTTTATGGAAATGGGAGGTTTGTGATTGAGGATGATAATGTAGAGGTTAATTTTGAGTTTTGTGAATTGAGTTATGTCAAGGGGGTTAAATTAGATGTTTAATCGGTTTAGATTGTTGTTAGAACTTCAATTGTTCAAATGGGATGTTTGGAGGTTGAATTCCTATAGTGGATCCTTGAGGTTTGAACCCTAATTGATGCTTGGAAGGGGATTTAAGGTTTTAATGGATTTTCTTGACCTTGGAGTGGTGCCTTGATGGTTATACCATTTTTAGTTGGGTAGAGTTATGGTTGGAGCTAGGAATTTTGTGTCCCCAAATGTTATTTTGGCCACATTATTAGTTTGAAAGCTAATACATGATGGTTGTGTGTTTGTGTGCTTGTGTAGACCGGTTGTGAGCCTTGTTGGTGCACGAGGCCGTCTTATTGGTTTGTTATTCCTTGCTCAGGTGAGAGGTAACCACTTTCCAATCCTTTGTACATGCTTTTGTGGTACTGTGAGTGAATTTATGTTTTGTGCTCCGAGTAACAATTGTGTTTAGATGGTATGTTGTATATTAAAAAGGAAAACCGTCTTGTGGGGTCTTGATTGATGATGAATGAATCTTGAATTTGTGAAAGATATGCCGCTGAAAGAAGTGATTTGTGAAATGATCATTTACTCTTGATTACAGTTTGAGCATGATGCATAAATTGGGAATTGGTGAGAGTTTTGATTGTTACTACCATGTGGTAAGGCCTCTATTAATGCATGATGGTTGGCTCTTTACGTCCCCCATAGTGAGGGATAGGCCTTTTGGCTCCCTGCGTCCCTCAGAGTAAGGGATAGGCCTTTTATGGCTCCTTACATCCCCCATAGTGAGGGATAGGCCAGCTTTGGCTCTTGAAAATCCCCCAAAGTAAGGGATATAGTTGATGGGAATTGTATCAGTGCACTTGCATTACTTGTTATGGCTATCATGTATAATATTACTTGTGAACTGCCCCACCTGACACCTCACGAGCACCTATTTAGTTTGTACCTTGAATTGGAAAGGTTGGTTACTGGGACGTTTGTCTCACCCCGTGGTTTATAATGTTTTCAGGTGAAGGTTCTAGGCGAGTGCCGTTGGGAAGAGACGCAGAGACTTGAGCTTGATTAGCGTTAGGCCTCCAGCCTTTGTATATATATGGCTAGTATATATATTGCCACATTTAGGGTCCTTTTGAAATATTTTTATTGTTGATCTTATTGTAAACTGGAGAAAATGTTATCTCCTTATTTTGGTTGGCCGGAGGCCATTTCTAGTGCTTTGTGAAACTTGATATACATTATTGGAAACCAATTGGATAGGCTGATTGATGCCTTTTATTACCCGGGCCGGAGGCTTGGAGGCCCAGTGAATGTTATTGGATGATTTCAGTTGCATGCAACGGAGTTTGAGTTTGGACCGAGTTTAAGTGTTAATTTCAAAAATTATGCAATTTCTTTCTACTATGGTAGTTTGTTGTAACAGCTTTCTTTTTCTACCATAGTAGTGATTTGATGACGAGTTTATAATGTTTTGAGGATAAGGGTTTTTACACTTCACATCACTCTCTATCTCTAACCCAATTTCCCATTCTTCATATGCAAATTTGCAATTCATTTGCTGCTCTACGAAGAACGGCCAATAGATCATAGCTACTCCGCCACAAATATTTTCAATTGTTGAGTTCTACCCATAAGGTTTTAAGAATCCTCCTATTGAACAATGAGTCGAAACTTGTTTTTGTGGACACCAACTTGATAACGGCCCTCTATTTCTCATCTCTTTAATAAACTTGGCAGGAAGAACTGTGTTTTTTATGTTAACAAGATCGGGTCAGATTACCCATAAGAAGGTTTTTTAACTATTAGCCAGTCCCCAAGCAAACTCTATCATTTGCTCTTTCGTCATCACTGTGATGCTCTCAAAGTTTACATAAACCACAGAGTTTGGTTTTTTTTCATCTAGCCATTCCGAACATTTGTTAGCAGATTTATGGGACCGATGGCGTAAACAGGAGGAAAATTAGAGGATAGTCCTTATAAAGCATCATATTCTAGATCATCAAATGTGTTCAAAATTATTGCGCTAGCTTTCTTGGCTCTCTCATACTCGCCCAGCCAAAAATCTAACACAAATTCTTTTGGGTTTGTTGTTCTCCAAAACTTTGGCATGTCTCTTAAACACAATTCCTTAATTACTGGAATCCAATCTATTACAATATTCTCCAAATACCCATTTGTTAAATCGCTCGAATCTATATGCCAAACACTTCTGACTTAACATAATGCATCTAAGTGTATACCAAACAACTTGTAATAAATGCATGAAGCTAGCTAGCATGTACCATGGAAGTTAGCCTACATATTTATATATAACTTTGAGAGATATCAAGCCTTTCTCAATGAGTCGGTGAAAATGAACATAGTAGAGAAAGTCATAGGCATTAGTAGTCCAGAAAAGGACATTTGGGATTCTGAGTTCTTTGGTAGCGTTGACGGCAAAGCTCATGATACCATCAGAAACTATGCAAGCGATGGGAGGGATATAAGGGGAATTGCTGAGTTTGTTAAGGAGGTTTCTAAAGGGAACTGGGCAGGTTCTACATGTGGATTCATAGAGAGAAGGGATGTCTTGTGTGGTGTCAATGACATCGTCAGAGTTGGAGCTGGGAATTCCTTTAGGGATGGTTTTGAAACGAAAGGAAGAGAGGCCATTGAAAGAATCTGTACCTTGAGATTTGAGGAGGTGTTTATGGTTGAACTCGATGTTAATGAAAGTGAAGAGGCTTTGCAAGTTTGAGTATGGGATTGACATTGCGTTATGTTAGGAAGGGGATACACACAGCGTGAGGCTTCTTTGAAGTAGCCAATGGACCCACTTTCCCAATTTGTTTTTTCCTCAGATCCTCAAGGAAGAAGAAGATAAATGTGAGGATGGCTTTGCCCATGCTAGTATATTTATAGCGGTTAAACACGAGAGGTAGTGTTTGCTTTTCAGGAAAATTACACTCAAGTCCCGATTCAGAGATTTTATTATTTCAAGGTCCCTAAAAATATTCGAGCTAATCTTAAATCTTAAGGGGCTTATGATTGAGATATTGTAAAAGTGAATCAATTATCTTTGCCTCACAATCCTCTATTGTTAATTCCAACTTTTTCATTTATCAATTGTGCCTATATAGATTGACACTCTGTGATGTATTTTTATTTCTTAATGGGATCATAATGAGATATCATTTAGAGTACTCTAACTTGTCAACTGAGTTTCAATATGAATAAAATTCCTTTGCACAACATGTATATCTTAAGCGAGGTTTGCCACCTGGATTTTTATTAGCCACTTAAACAAAATGCTCCCATGCAAGATCAGCCTTCAATCTCACAGATTGTGTAGAGCGAGCATTAGCGGATACTTGTTGGGATTGGGATGACATCTTCTAATTTCTACAATACAATAGCATAAATTAATAATAACTAGCAAACATATTTAGAGAACATGTTACTTGAGAAAAGGATTTTGAATTTAAGCAGTCAATTATTTAAACAATTAATTATAATTTATGGAAATAGTAAAAATTAGTTATAATTTATAGATCATGTAGATTTAGTTTTTGGTCAAATTAGAGCCCTTAATAGCCTTCTTTAACCCATAAAGCTTCTTTAAGTTAAAGAATAATGAATCAATTATCATTATTCCATAAGGCATAAACTTGCAAATTATTAGATATAGTGATATACACTAAACGAGCACTATCAAAGTGGTAATAAATATACAAGTATAGTCTAACAAATAAAAAATAACAAGCCAAGAAGATAGCTAAATATTAAGTCTCTGACTCTGCACATATAGCTAGGTCCTACTATTTATTTTTATATTTCTCTCTAATTTCATTCTAAAGTACTTCAACGGAATCCTCTTGGTTACAAACGGAAACAGATATATATCTATATAGATATGATAGTTACAGCTCACTCGATGTATATAAGCTTGTACATCAGATAGTTACAACTCACTCAATATATATATATAGAAGCTTATATGTTAGCCTTTACTTAAATGTTATCTTTTCCATCATCTCTGGTAATTGACTCTGGTTTTGGCAGAATTATTTCAAATGCCAAGTATCACAAACATCCAATACCATAACATTATGCATCTTTTAGGTCCAATATATCGATACTATACAACTAAAGGAAAAAAGCTTCAATTTTTAACTTATAAATTGCATATTTAGAGATATTTGAGTACCAAAAAAAAACAGAGCATAGAGATTCACAAAAGAAACAACCCAGAACAAAGCTTTAAAGAATATTTAAGCAAAGACTTCATAAATACCAATGAGAAGAGAATCATTTACCTATTTAAAATGCAATAGATTTGGACTTTGATAATTTTAAATTTATGATCACTTCTGTCTTCAAGTCTCTACTTCTCTAACTTGGCTTTTTCCAACACCTTGAAGGCTTCACAATAGCAACATAATGGATAAAGATGAGAGACAAAATCAAAAAATAAAACCAGTCTATAGATGATGGTAGACAACAGCGTATACAGACAGAGCACAACAGAGCATGGTGGAGCATGGTGAACAAAGGAAGAAGACAGAGAGAAGGAGAAGTTTGGGTTCAAATAGTAGGGACTTAAGGCACTCGCAACAAAACATGAAAAGGGTCTTTTCTTTTTAATATATTTTTGAAATATAATAAATTAATAATACAAGATTACAGGATTTAGGCCTTTTTTTTAATTTTTTATTGATGTCCTTTAGCCCGTTCAGTTTTCACAAATTTGGAATGGTTTCCAGCCAGAATTGATGGTCTAAAAACGGATAAATGATAGCCTAAAATGGCTAGACCACTCAAGTGGCCTAATGCCTCTATACAAGCCATTGCCTAGACCAGTCAATGGTCTAACCCGTTAAACTGTCCAATCCGGCCCGGTCTAGCTTTAAAAACCATAAAATGGACACTTTTAGGGTTAGAAGGAAAAACCTAGATATGTGAGTAAATCTTAAATGACGTGAATGTACTTGTAAAGGTTGGCAGATATTAAGACCACTGTGCCCACATACATGTGGTGTAATGAAGAAGATACATGGTAACACACACACACACACACAGAGGATTGACTTTACTCTTTGCTCAAGAAAAAATTTATGGTAGACTCATGATCCTAGTTGAGACACATGACATTCTAGGCCAGATTCCCTTAGATATGAAGATTACTTGTCAATTATCTTCCTACAACCACTATTGATTACTCGCCATCCTGAAAGGCCTAGAGTGACGAGGATTGGATCACAATTTCAAGACTAGAAAGTGCATCATTGCTCAAGATATAGTGAAGCTGGTCATTGTAGAAAGACTTTAGTAACTTGAACCCTGTGTGACTTTATTGCTGACAATAGTATTTTTTTTAGTTTAGTATACAGCTAATTTTGTACATGAATGAACCCTAATATGTATTTTTGGATTGATTAGGGAAGTAGCTGTGACAACCTATTTAGTAATTTTGGTCATAAGTTGGAATCTATTTTGCATAGTGAATTGATAGTTGAAAAATTTCATAATAGTACTTGATGATAAGCTACCTAAGTATTGCACTAAAATTGGCTAGTAACATTATAAAATACTTGGTCCATTTGTTAATAGATGTATTTTTTGTTGTTACTTCATGTATCCATATTGCAATTTACCTAATTCTAGTTGTGAATGAAACATCCAAACTTGCGCATGAACTTTTTAATTTGATCAATTTGTCAATTCAAGTACCTCACTTGTTGTGGTTAACACCCATATTTTTATTGCAAATTTTCTGATTCTAGTTGTGAATATACTCTATAAACTTTGGCATCATTTTTAACAGTTTTATTTTAAAAAGTCCACTAACGAATGGATAAGTTCCTATTATCAATGCATGTATTCTTGTTGCAAATTCTCTAATTCTAATTGTGAATACACTCTACAAACTTTGACATCATGTTTAACAGTTTTATTCCAAAAAGACCACATGCGAATGGATGAGTTCTTCTTGTTAGCGCATGTATTCTTGTTGCAAATTCTCTAATTTCAGTTGTCAATACTCTCTATAGACTAAGGCATAATCATGTTTGATAGTTTTATTCCAAAAAGACTACTTGTGAAATGACGAATTCTTGTTGTTAACCCCCACTATTCTTGTTTCAAATTTTCTAACTCTAGTTGTCAATATTTGTACTTAAAGTACAAAATTTATGGGGGAAAATATATTGCAATTACTGGAAATGTAATATACTCATAATAAATAATTCGTTGCACTAAAATTAAAATTTTGGATAATCCTTATATACAAATTTTGACACATTCTAAACTAGTATAAATGACATCTTGAGTTGACATAAAACAATTGATCCATTATCACTTTCTTTTTGGTTGTGTTTGTATCCTTGCAAGTAGCTGCAAAACAACAGCCAACTTTGTATTTATTGCATAAGTAACGAGCCACTATAACAAGACTGACCTTAAGAAGTGAGTTCTTTCTATTGCATAACATACCATTATAACATTAACACAAGTGTAAGAATAAAATCTAAAAATAATACATTGACAAATAAACATATAATCCAACTCATATTGTTATATAATAAGGAATGATACATTCAATTCCATCTTTCTCTTGTACATGGGGCCGCTCTTCTAAATATATGATGACATAAATCCCACAATTGTCACTATAAAATTAACATACCATACTATTATATTATATTAATAATTGAAAATGCAACACAAAAACCTTAATAAAAACTCACATGTTTTCTTAGACATAAACTGTAGGGTATAATATGACATTGTTTGCATCTGGGTTGCTCAATAACTCTAAGTTAGGCTTCACTATTTTTAGTATGTCAATGAAGTGTATCCTCTAAACAACAAAAAATAACTATTAAACAAGGGATATCATCATCGGTGAGAAAATTACAAGAAGGACGATTGAACTAACATAGAATTGAGCCATCATCTGCTGCCCTTTGTCTACTAGATCATTTTTCCTCTTCCTTTGCTTTTTCTTTTTGTTGGTTACATCCTTACCCCCATTATCAGCAACACATAATAATGTAATTAGTAAAATTAGTGCATTATCAGCAACACATATAAAAGTATTCAAAAAGAGATAGCATTAACCATGAAATCAGTATCAAATATATGCCTTTGAACCATAAAAGCATTTTTCTTATGTTCACTATTCAGAGCATGAGCAATCAATAACATAATTTGCACATTAGTGCAACATCAAAATTTAAAATCATTCACAATATATGCCAGTGCAATTTCAATCCAACATTGCACATACTTAGTTGCTTATCCACCGCCTTGGACCAAGGACCTATAAGTCTTTTCATGTTGCAAAATGGCCAAACATATCTACCAAAACCCTACACAACAAACATGCAAATTAAAATATTATGATGTTATTATTAACATGCGATCGTAACCTAAAGCACTCTTTACACTTACTCTTCTCCCTTGTTTTGCAAACACTAATCAGTATAAATTTTATAAAATGCTTCATTCTCACTGAATTTAACTTTTCTCACATACATAGCTTGATATGGTGACTTTATTGCCGGTACAATATGTCTGTTAGACCTTGCACTACTTTTTGTTTTCTCTTGCCTGATTCAATTTATTTTTCGTTTTTAGGTTCAACATCATTTTCTTTTCCTTCATTTTCATCTTCATCTTCTTCTAGTTGTTCTTCTTCTTCTTTTTCTTCATTACCATCTTCTTCTTCTTCTTCATCTTCATCATCCTTTTTTCTTTTTCTTCATCTTCATC